AGGACAGGAAGGCCTAGCGCGATATGGTTCATGGGGTCACGAAGAGTCGGACACAACTTAACGACTAAACAACAACAACAACACACATTGCACATAGCCATAACAGAATTAATCATGATTTACTGATAAAACTCACCCAAAATGCTAAGTCTTAAACCAAAGATGCATAATTTCCCTGCTTGTGGGTTGCACCAGGTTTAGTGCATGAGTCAAACCTGACCCTCATGGTAGAGCCATGAGCCAACCAAGAAGCAAATTTCAGGAGTTTTAAAGGTCACCAAGAAGTCCTGTTGTGGTATATAGGGTGCAGGCCAGGCAGCAGACTCTCTCACCGGCAACCCCTTTTTAATAGAATACTTTCTCCCAAGACACGGATGGCTTCAGTTCTGCTGCCACTTTGCATCCAGCAGGTGTTGGGCCCTTAGATTAGTTTAATTTAAAGGGTGGCCATGATGTTTATTGACTGTGACTGATATTATTGGAATTCTCTCTCTTGAGCTTTATACATTCATCTTGACTTTGTTGTATCTCACACATATTCTGCTGGGATTGGGGTAGGCTATCAATACTGCACGTAAATATGTGAGATAGATAGATAGATAGATAGATAGATAGATAGATAGATAGATAGATAGATAGATAGATAGATAGATAGGGTTCCTTAAGCATCTCTAAGGCTTAAAGCCTTTTCATTTTGCTCAGAATAGGTACAAATCACAGCAAGTAAATAAGTAGCCAGTTTAGTCTAGTGGTGAAGGCTCCAGGCTAGAATCCAGGAGACGGGGAGTTCTAGTCCCACTTTAGGCATGAAAGCCGGCTGGGTGACTTTGGTTCAGTCCCTCTCTCTCAGCCCAACCCACCTCACAGGGTTATTGTTGTGGGGAAATAGGAGGAGGAAGGAGTATGAGGTATGTTCACTGACTTGAGTTATTAATAAAAATAATAAAGGTGGGATAAAAAATCTAAACCCCCACCCAAAACCTAGATTTCACTGAAATATTTAAAAAACCCTTCCTAACATTAAGATCTATACAATCATGGATCAGTCTACCTACAGAAATTGTGGATACTTCATTTCTGGAGGTTTTTAGGAAGAGCTGGACAGCCAACTCTCAAAGATAATTTGACAGGTGTTCCTGTACACTGCAGAGCGTTTGCCTAGATGTCCCTTGTAGTCCCTTTCAACCCCATAACTTTCTGATTATATTAGAGATGCAGATAGCTGCTAACAAACCAAGCCATTACTACTTTAGCATCGTTACAAAGAGCTAGCAGCTGCTGTGTCTTCTCCTCTCAAAAAAGCACGGGAATCAGTGTAAAAGGCCAGAGCTGAACGGCAGAGCACCTATTTCACATACAGTACTCATGATCTTGTTTCGGGACTGGTCAATGGTCTGGCTCAATTGCGACATTCTCCCTCCCACTGAACAACACCCTTGTGTTACAGCTGCAACATAAATTCACAGGCTGTTTGCAAAGAAAGAGGAGAAAGTTCACATGCAGCAAAAGGCTATCCATGGTTTTCCAGTGTAATTTAAGCAAAGTTTAAACACAGTCCATTAAATATGACATGAGAGGTGTTACATTTGATGAAGGGGGACAAAACCGTCTTCTCTGGAGGCTGAAAAACAGAAACAGGGAAGATGCTCAAAATTCAACAAGGAAGGTGAATTGTCATTGAGAAACCCTCCTCTGTTCTTTGCAGGTTTCAGTTCAGAAGAACATTAGGTTTATCCTGGTAGGTTTCAGGACTTGGAACTTGCTTTCTCTGAGCAGTTAAATTCCCAGTCACTGATAACAGTTATTAATAATACTCATAGGGCTTATGCAATTCTGTGCTTCGGTGCTGGAGTATGTCCTCTCCTGCTTTCAGGGTGAGGACCAGACCCAGGTACAGAGCAGATTTTAAGTGGGTATCCATGTCGGTTTCCCCTTCCAAGATGCAGCTGCTAACACAGAGGGGAAAATGAGCAAACTCTGCTTTCTGGCTTGCAACATCCCAACCTTTCTGAGCAGTCAAGCACAAACTACATGTTAACACATTTCATCAAAGAAGGGGAAGCTGAGTTCAGGGAGCCACTCCGAACAGAGGCACCTCCAGCGAGGTGAAGAATGCTTCACAAAACGGGTGTATTTTCCAGCTTAGAACCCCAGGCATGGAAGGACTCCAGCTGAGAGTAGAGGTGAAAATAGCAACACCACTGCTCACCACCCCTGGAATTACTAGGACAGGACCAACGGCTTCAAATGTTTCAGCCTGTTAATATTTCCTTCTCCTACAAGGAACAGGACATCAGTATCTGGCACCCGATGGGTGAGACAGCATATGTACCTCAACCCCTTGGAAAAATAACTCTGGATTCATGTCACAGTATCAACCATAAAGCAAAGTTGACGTTGACTTGATGGTTCATAATCATCTATTTGTTCGCCTTGGTGCTGCCCTTGAAGACCACCTGGAGCCTTCAGCTTGACCAGAAAGTAACAGCACCCATGCCTAGTGCTCAGTCGCAGGACTGCCACGCCACACTGCATGAACTCTACTGGCTACCAGGAGATTTATGAGCACAATTCAAAATGCAGGCTGCTACCTATGCAGCCATATATGGCTCAGGGCTGGGTATCTTAGGGACCACCAATTCCCAATAATTTCTGCCTGCCTGACCTGGACGACTAGGAGTTATGTCAGGAGGCAACCCCACAGCAGGGATTCGTCTTGAAATAGCTCCCCTCCTCTGGAACAGCTTGTTCCCTGAAGTGCCCACCCCCATGACCTTCTGAAAGCAGATGAAAACATGCCCCATTCTGGAGGGTCTTTGGGCATTAACCGTATACATCTGTGCCCTTTTCCATAACACTATCATTTTAGTCTTTTACTTCTGCTTTTTTAATTAATTTCATTCTGATCTTGTATACTACGCAGATTTGGTAAGCTGCCTAGAATCCAGGTGGTTTCAGATGGAGTAAGTAAGTAAGTAAATAAATAAATAAATAAATTTATTCTTGGGTGGAATAAATGGCAAAAATGGCTGGCAAAAGTAGCAACAGGGACTGCATTTTTTTTTTACTCAGAAATGCCCCACAATCTTACTGTCCTCAAACCAAAGAAGATTTCATAGATCTATACATCTGACTTTTCTGCAAAGGACATTCAAGGCAGCTGATACCATTAAAATTGCGTATCAAATTTTAAAAAATCACAAAAGGTCAAATATTTAAAGCAAAACAAACAGGACCTAAAATAGAGAATGTAATACAGCTGGCGTGTTAGTTTGATAAGCTAACTACTCCCTGACATTAAAACAACGATAGAAAAAAGACAGGGGAAGCCAGGTGAAACTGGAAACAGATGAAGCTGGACACCACCCTCCAAAACTCTCACCTTAATCCCAGATCACAGCTTAGACCAGTGCTTCTCAACCGTAGCAACTTTAAGATGCGTATTCCCAGAATTCCAGCGCCAGCAGGCTGAGAGTTGAAGTCCACACCTCTTCAAGTTGCTGAGGTTGAGAAATACTGTCCTAGACAATGGTGGACCTAGCCATCCATGGCTGATCTCAGAAAGCCAATCGGGTTTAGGCCTGGTTACTATTCAGATGGGAAACCTCCTAGTCTATAGGTTAGAGTGGGAAGATGGAAAAACACCCTAGAAGGCAGCAGGGCCCATCTTGCTGCCAAGAAAACTCCATGTTTGTGTCCATGAAGTCACCAGGCATTGAGTTCAATCTAAAGGAGAGCTCCCCTTAATACAGCATACCTACAGTATTATTGTAATACTTTGAAATCATGGGATGGAGCAAGCTACAGGCTTCCACTGTGTTTCTTTGTTTATTTTTATTTTTATTTCTTTATATAATACATTTCACAGTCACTTCTATGTTAAACAATCCTGTATCAGCGCAACTGAAAATTCCCATATATCCCAACATACATTCATGTTGTCATTCTTAAAACTGATAAAAGCCTGCCAGTGCTAATTCAACAATTTCCCACTGTTTTTTAAGCATGTGAATTTTATCAGAGACCTTGTCAAGCAGGACAAACAAATCTCACCGAAGCATTTTTCAAGCAAAAAATTATCCAGATATTTCCACTGGTGGGCTGTGATTGACTTTGCTGCTAAGAGCAGATAACCAATAAGTTTTTTGCTTCATAACTATGTATTCTTTCAACATAATATATGCAATAACCCTGCAGAGTTGGGGAGAATTCACTCTTTTGTTTGACTATTGGTATCAATTTGTTAAAGACCTCCCTCAAAATTTTGAGGCTTTATGACATTCCCTCCAATGTTGAAAAAAAGTCCTTTTTATTACCTCTCCAACATCTTGTAGGGAAGTTATGCATTACAGGGGAGATTTTTATAGTGGTTAAATGCCTATAAGATCTTAAGCTATAATTCCTACACTGAAGTGGAGAAGAATTTCCCAGACCCTCACAAGGGTCACCAAATTGCATCACCCAATAGCTTGTCTAAATCTGGCTCCCCAAACTGTTTCCAACTTAATGCAGAGATACCTATATTGATTTCAGACAAATATGAGTAACATTTTGATATAATATCTTTGGGTTGTGCAAAATTAACTTCTAAAAACTGGACCACAGGGAGCTGACAAGTTCCATTACCCTTTTTGTAAAAATGAAGTTAAAATTTTTGTTTTTTGCCTTCAAGTCAGGGTTGACTCCTGGGAACTTCCTGGACTGGTCCCTGCAGTTCACCTGACATTTTTAGAAGAGGTTTGCCCATGCCTCCTCCTTCCTAGGGCTGAGAGAGAGGGACTGGCCCAAGGTCACCCACTGGCTTTGTGCCTAAGGTGAGACTAGAACTGTCTGCAGTTTTCTAGCCTAATGCCTTTAACTACTACGCTAAACTGGCTCTCAAAAATTAGTTTACGGAGACCAAAAAGGCCACATTAGCTTACAGTCCAATTGTTCCCCTCTTTTGGAATGCTACTATGTGTTTATAAAAAAGTTCCTTAGTCTACATAGACCCTTCTTTTTCCACAATTTCAGGTGTGCTCTTCTAATTATAAAATCTTGTCCCCAGAGAGGGTACGTAGAAACGGCCAGTATAAGTCCCTAATACCTCTTCTTCCGCAAAAGGATCATAACTTGAGTAAATTCATTAATTTCTTCATCTGATAGAGATCTTTTTGGGGTCAGGTAAGGTTGTAAAATTTGCAAGCACTAAGGAAGGTATCTGGGGAAACACGGATATCCATGGGCACCTTGTTGCCAATCACAGTATTAAAGACACTAATCATAACAATTGATTTGGTTGGAAAAGAGTCAAAGAACAGAATGGCGTCTCCTCCTTTCTAGCAGCTGCATTCAGAAGGTGCCCTGCCCACCAGCACTAGGATGCAGTTCCACTTCAAGAATGCTGGAATTGCATTAGAGAATTTGCCAATTGAAGGCAGTGGGGCGAGCACGGTGCTCTTTTTAGCTCCTGCCTTCTCCATACATGGTCATCCTCTGTAGACAAGCTGAGAGGGAACAGAAGGAGAAGATTAAACATCTGCTTGCTTGTGCTTCGCTCCAAATTGCACTCTAGCTGGGCAAGATACTCAGTTGTTTGGGATATCTGGATGCCATTCAAATTGTCAGATGACATTTTTAGCATAGATTAGACTTACACCTCTGTTCAGAACTACATCTCAGCCTAGCAAATGTCACTTTTATTGCTGCCCTGCCACCCAGAGCATTCACCTTCACCAAGCTAAATGCTACAGAGAAAGCCCCCAAGCCCCCTAATTTTGGGAAGAACATTGTCAGTCTATGGACCTTAATGCATAAAAAGCAAATTTACATTAGAAGCTGGACAATAACTTATGTTTCTAGTTCCCTTTAATTTATATCAGCAGTAAGAGTAGATAGGTCTATAACACTATAGCCTAGCAAAATCCTAACTTCTGTGATCTGGTGGCCATGTCGGTTGGGTATTTGAAAGACACAGTCTGAACACGTCTGGAGCTGAGAACACCAGACTGAGGACCACCCATTAAACCAGATCACTAAAACAATCCTCTCCAACCCAGGCACCATTCAAGTATGTGGGCTTCAACTCTATGAATTCTCAGAAATGGCCATGTTGGCTGCACAATTCTGGGAGCCGAAGTTCAAGCATCAGAACAGTCCAGTCTGGGTTCCTGACTCCCATCCTAGTACTAGCCAGGCCTAGCTTCTAAGTTTAAACAAAGTTAACCAAATACTGCTATCTGCTGAGTTTTTCTACCTAAGATGGTTTTATTCCTCCTACTTTTCCCTCCAGTCTTCTCAACCATTCTTAACCAAGAAGATCCTATTATAAAATCAAATCTAAACACTTGGAGGGATGTTTCACTTGTTGCAAAGTTTGACCTTCCAGGTTGACAGTTCCAGGTAGGTCCAAGGGCACCTCTGTTTTACTTCC